CATCATGAGCTTAGATCCTATACCACGGTGATCGGAATCAGAGCATTCCAAAGTCACAGAGTGATGAGAAATTTAGATGGAGCCTTATAAAAAGTTAAGCCGAGGGTTGCTGAAATTCCGAGGAGACAGGATGCAGGAGGAGGGTATTGTTAATTTATTTTCTTCCTCTGCAGGTTCCAGTCAGGGGAAGATAAGTAGCAAAACCCAGCATCACAGCAATACTTGTGTTTTATCCCCTTCCTCCATCTGGCGCCTTTTTTAACAACTTGGTATGCTTCTGAAATGGGTTCTTCATTGTCTTACGAGTCATTAGCATTTAAAACCCCCCTTTGGAATCCCAAGCACTATTTTCTCTGCATTCCAGATTCAGCATTGTCTTCCCAAGTATTCAAATGGAACCATCTCTGAGATTGTGGAACATGCTCAGTGTCTTTGGAGGGAAAGATTCATGAGGGAGGTTTTGTGTTCCTTGAGAATTGTTACCACTTATTTTAGCTTCCTTTTGATTTCTCCTCTTGAAAAGTGTATTTGTGGAACCAAAGTACATACATTTTCTCACTCACTGTGGATTCTAAGAACCCACCCTCCATGCTGACTTTCCACTCCTGCCTGGACTCCACACTGAGCAGGCATGCTATGGAAACACAGTGTTCTATTAGGCATGTTCCTACTGGTCAGCAGAAAACTATTCAATTGTAATCTGACTAATGATGTTTTCCCTTAAATATTGTAAGTTTCTGAGTCCTCAGTTAGTCACTGATACCTCTGTCCATTTCCCCGTTTGTGTTTATATTTGTAGCTGCTCAGTGTGGGCTATTATGACAACAGGGTTTTCAAGCAGCTATAGGACATGAAAGCTCAACCTCCTACCCACACTGCCTACACAATACAAAGCCATCCTGTTGGCTTGTCTAAACTAATTTAGGAGTGTTCCTAATACAGAGCAGTGAGTAGGCTACCCAGATCTGAATATGAAATGAGAGTTAAGTTCAGTTACTTTAAGTTTGAAGCAGCTATTATAGTGTGTTGGCACAATGAGCCAACAGAAAGGGAATGGACGGGTGGTTATGCAGCACATGTAACACTTGAGCATAATTTTTACATTTTTTGGATCTTCAGATCCAAACATGCCTTTTAGACAGGCATGTTTGCCTCACTGGCATCTCCTGCAAATAGTCAGTGATAATCTGCCACAGTACAGCAGAGTGGTGGCTAGACCATAAGATGCCAAGTGCTCTGAATGCAGGAATGGGCCTGAGCCCTGTGTGTATTGTATGTTGTCTTTTAATCCAACCATTTGAGAGTAATGGGCAGTCTGTGTCTTTATTAAGCAACAGTATCTGTAGATGGGTTCCTGCTACATCAACAGGGAACATTAGGCACACCACAAATCATCTCAGGGTGACCTAAACTGCTCATAACACCTTGTTTGGGTAACTCTCAAACCAGTACTCAAATTCTAAAATCATCTTTCAAGAAACATAAGATAGAAGTATTTTCTTAGACAATCTTGGCATAAATTTGTTTTATCCAGTAGATTTTGATTCTGCATGAGTCATATTGTCCAAATATTATATAATTCTATCCTTTATTTATCAAATGCATTTCCCCCCCAACACCTCAACTACCTCAGTAAGTGAGAACCCAGGGGCAGACTATTTTGAATTACTTACTAAGTGAGAAATAAAATGCCAAAGAGAAGAGGGAAAAAGTCTTGACATTATAGTATTCAATTAAAAAATCTTTATTATTACATTGTAACTGTAATGACATCTACTCTGAAACCTAAAGTAGGGAAATGGTAGTACAGCCCCCTTTTGAAATGGCAGTTGATAATAGTAGTTCGAATCTCTCTCCTCTCACTGTCATATGCATGTGTATATATAATCTCTCTCATGCATATATTTGTGATTCTCTCTCTCTCTCTCTCTCTCTCTCTCTCTCTCTCTCTCTCTCTCACACACACACACACACACACACACAATTAATCTTATACAGCTAGGTAAATGTTGAAAGATATTTTAATATTCTCCTCTTGTTATATTAAAAATACAAATCATCACTGCAATAGAATCAGTGTTTGAAATTTGTCTCTTTACACTTGCTGCCTTTTGGAATTAACTGTTTTTGATTGTATGGACACTATTTTTTTCCTCCACCGAAATAAAGAGTACAGACAGTTATTTTTGTGTTGGAAATGCAGTGAACAGCTCCTGGGCTGTGAAAAGTTTTTATAACTGTCTATTGAAAACCCTGGGTTTGAATGTAGGGAAATCGTAGGGCAATTGGGACCACCAAGACAGTAAGGAGGAAAGAAAACTAAATGTTAGCCTGAGAAAGGTTTGTTTGTATGTTTGTTTTTTGAAGGAGCAGAAGGCAAGGCAGAACCATGTTGATGGACAAGAGTTGGGTGTACAGTACCTGGGGAGAAGGCACTTTCTGGAACTTCCTCCAGGAAATTTAATCTCAGTGTGGAAGGGGACAGGGGTTGATGCTCAGGACTTTTCCAAGAGTACAGGAGGAATAGCAGAGCAGCACAATAGGTAGGCATGGATGTGACATTTTTCAGAGACTAGGGACAAGGGCTGGGCTCTCTCATCCATGTGTGCGTTGAACATCATTCAGCAATTCCCTACTAACTGGAGGGAAGATATCTTTACAGTTCGACCCTCAATGGGAAACCTCATCTAAAATCTGGAAGGATGGAAGATAATTGATCTGAGTTAGTGACCAGCTAGAAACTACCTCCAAAATCCTGAAATAATCATTAGGTTTCAACTAGAACTATACAATACAATGTTATCTGCTCACATGACTACGTTAATAGAATGTACAGAGTTCCCACAGTATGTTTACCACCATTAAAGGTGTACTCTTTAGCAGTCCGTACTTGGTAGAGAGGTCTTGTTGACATTCTCTCTGCCTGGCAATCTTAAAGATAGAAGAAAATGTGTAGAAATTTCAGGTCATGAAATATAACTGACTTATAGTAGAGGTGTGGGGATGGGAGGATAATTGACTTACAGTACAGGCATGGGGAATGGAAGTTCTGTTTCTTAGCATCTGGTTTAATCATTGCAGCCATCACTGCTAAGAGTTCGTCAGGAAGACAACTTTAAGTTAGATGGCAGGTTCTCCTCATAGTAGCTATGTCCAGGCTGTGTAAGCATAGAGAGATCAATAGCATAGTGGAGACCTATTTGTCTTACTTACTGCCAAATCTACTATGTCTGGACAGTGCTTGGCAAATATATTCTCAAAAATATTTGTCAACTAAATAAGTGAACTTAATTTTCCTGACAATTTTATAGATTTTTGACAAGTCATTATAGACTTGTGAGTACTGAGTTGAATAAATGCTATAACCTAAATGTCTTTCAGTAGTATAAATCCCACTTATAATACATATATATGTGTATATATTAAACTAAGATTCCTCTAAAGCACATACATTTTTCTTTTTCTTTTTAAAGTTCCAATCCACTCCCCACCACATTTATGTGTGTGTGTGTGTGTGTGTGTGTATGTGTGAGAGAGAGAGGGGAGGGCAGGGGAGGGAGAAGATCTGTATGGCCCTGTGCATGTCAAGGTACATGTGTAGTGGTTACAAGACAACTTCAGGCCTTCCATGTTGTTTGTATCCTTGTTGGTCTCTTCTGTGAATGCCAGGCTAGCTGGTCCATGAGATCCCAAGAATTTCCCTATCTCTGTTTCCATCTTACTGTAGAAGCATTATGATTATCAACATGGTATCATATCTGGCTTTATTTCTGCCTCCATCTTAGAAGTTCTATGATTACAAACACAATATCACATCTGTCTGTATATGAGTGACATCACATCTGGCTGCATATGAGTGACATCACATCTGTCTGTATATGAGTGACATCACATCTGGCTGCATATGAGTGACATCACATCTGTCTGTATATGAGTGACATCGCATCTGGCTGTATATGAGTGACATCACATCTGGCTGCATATGAGTGACATCACATCTGGCTGTATATGAGTGACATCACATCTGGCTATAGGCCTGTGTTTTGAATGCAGGCCTTCACACTTGCACAGCAAGTGCTTCACCTCTGTTTTTAAATATACTTCCCTGGTCATGGTGAAGAGCCATAAATATTTCTATCAAGAGTGAAATGTGACCCTGATATATGATGAGTGCAGAATTTTTTATTTCATAGTAGCTGTGGTTATGTTGTCATGTTGGTAATTTATTTATCATGCTTATTTAATGTTGTGGCAATAATTTATGTAGAATTGCAACAATGGCCATCTAGCCTCTAGTTAGACACAGGATTGGTATTGCTTCTTTACATGGGTAAGCTCCATCTATTTTCTGAAATTTTACTCCTTAACCTCTTCAAGGTCTCCCAGGTGACTCAAGGCACTGCTGGGCATGTGTCACATGGCCTTCCCTAAGCATGGCTCTCATTCACACGATGGCCATCTATAAAAAAAGAAAGGGAAGTCAGCCATCTGGTCCCATTTAACCCAGCCTGGAAACATGGGCTAAATATACGTGCAGGGTTGGATAACATATACTGGTGGTCTTTAGGGAAGAGCCAAGGATAGAAGCTCTGACACTTGAGGTTCATTTTGCAACAATCAAAAAGGGTTTGATGACAACAGGGTAAATAATGAGTGCTGAAGAGATGTAGTGTGGATGATTTTCAGAGGAACTTTTAGTCTATGCTCACACTGGCAACATTAAGAATTGATGTAATCCTGGCTGGGGTATGTGGAAGTCCTTCCCAAAGTAGCTACATTGGATAAACTTTGAAACAAGGAAACTATCTTGCTACTTATGGAGGAGTATAATGGGAGTACAAGATTAAGGGTCCTCTGTTAGAGTCTGATTCAGGAGGGAACACTTTCCAAGTCATAGTCACATTATCTGACCACTTTCCTTGATGCACACTGAAGCTTTTTTAAAGCCCATAATACTGTCTGTGATCAAGTTGATTCCATCAATTTTAAATCCTTCTTACCTGTTTCTGCTCTTCTCCAAGGCCATCCCACATTGAAGCCACAATCTTAGAGACTTCACCAAAAGTAGCATTTGGATTTTGGCCCTTGATGGCAGCCTGAGTATCACGAAAGAACAAAGCATAGGCTGACACAGGCTTCTAGGATTCATTGGGGTCCTTCTTCTTCTTCTTTTTGGGAGTTTTGGGTTTTTTTCCCATATCAGAGGCAGGCCGCTTCTCTCCACCATTGATCTAAAATAAAAATCAAGACAGAGTTATGGAGGAACTGAGAAATCAGTGGCTGAATCATATTGCTATTCTTCCTTGACACAGACACAAAATGCCTTCCAGACAACCCCCCACCCAGAAATATTTCTGTAAGAATAGAGGGAATGCTGTTGTGGTTTTACACATAAATCTTCATATGTTGTTACAGGGTAACATGCTCAATGGTAGAATGCTTGTCCAGCATGCTCAAAGTCTTGTATTTGATCCCTAGTACCACAACACAACAAAAAAGTACAAACAAAAAGACAATGTCAGCCAGGCGTTGGTGGTGCACACCTTTAATCCCAGCACTCGGGAGTCAGAGGCAGGCAGATCGCTGTGAGTTTGAGGCCAGCCTGGTCTCCAGGGTGAGTGCCAGGATAGGCTCTAAAGCTACACAGAGAAACCCTGTCTCAAAAAACCAAAAAAAAAAAAAAAGAAAAAAAAAAAAAAAGACAGGGGGGGAGAGAAAAAAAAAAAAAAAAAAAAAAAAAAAAAGAAAAAAAAAAAAAAAAGACAATGTCTATAAGTCACATGGTCTCTGTATTCATCCTTTTCCTGGTTCACTTGACCTAACTCTAACATTTTTGTTTCCGTTTGTAATTTTTGCTGTTTATGCCATGCCTAGCTGGCATTTCCATGGCCTTGCCTCCCATCTATTGTAGAAGTGCTGGGGTTACAAACATATGATAATATATATGCCTTTTCATGAGTTCTGGGGATTTGAACTCAGGTCTTCACACTTGTCAGCAAGAACTTTACTACTGTTAAATGCTACTCTTTGTCTCCCTTCACCCTTTCTCTTTCATTGTAGCTTTGTCAGCAGCAACCTTCTCTTGTAGTGATCTTATTGGGCTTGCTTTCTTCTGTGGAGTTTGGACTTAGCTTCCTAAATGACTTTAAATATTATGTCAGCATGTCTAACAAAGTCAAATGGTTCTTGATTTTATCCTGGGTTGATGGATGTGGTTGGGGGTGGGAATCCAGCAATGTTTATTGTTTAGAGAGTAGACAGCTCTAGAACCTGGGTAGCTGCTCTCCAGTGGAACTTCTGCAAAATTCTGAAAAAATTGATAGCAAAATTCTATAGTTTATACTGTCCTATTTGGTTTTCACGAGCCACATGATGCTAAAAAATGCTTAAATGAATGACATTAGATTGTATTCCTTTTCAAATTCAACTAGAAACAAATACCCAATGGCTAACATATTGAAGACTTTACCCCCAAAATATAGATTCCAGAAATTTCTAGAACAACTTAGATTAGCATTTTATTATATTTAAAAATAGATTCAGTCTTTCTCCACTGTTCTGAGATTATTTAAATAGTTATTTTGACAAAATCAGAAAAGCTACACTGAGTGTGCTTAAGGCACCTACACATGAATAACATACTTGTTGCTAAGTAAAGATAATGTCATTCAGTGAGGATCATGGTGAGGATTTCTTTCCAGCTCTAAAGTGGTATGACTTTATAGGATTATTTAATATTGCTACCTGTGAAGACCCCTGTTCATAAGTGCCTGTCCCACTGACCTAAGTCCTGTTTACATGGTCTCCCCACAGTGGGCATTCTCACAGATGTTCTGACCCTTATCTTCTGTGGCTGCTCTGTGCTTTTCCTACATGTGGATAGTGTATGATTTATTCTCATAAAGTGCATGGTGAGGCGTGTGTATAAGATAACTCCCACTGTGCAGAGGACACATACTCAGTCAAGAGTCCTATGGACATATCAGAAGACATAAGTTCAAATATTCCTTTAGTTAACCATCAGCTGTGTTATCTTTCTTAAAGTAATTTTCCTAAACTCCTATCTTTTTACCTTAAATTAGTTTCAGATCTATTTTTTTACAGTTACTGTAATGTACATATTTATATATCTGAAAACTCCAAAAAGCATATTTGAATGCAAATGATGAAACTTTAAAAATTAACTCATCAAAGAAATGCAAAAACATCATCTTGTTTTTGAAAACATGAAGTCAGTTTAAAAGATTTGCTCAAGAACCAATAAGAAACAGAGAGAAAAGTCTTATTGAATTCTTTGGCTTTGTTTTCAATTGAGAAAGACAGAGACTTGAGAATGATAATTAAGATGACAATTAGCTATTGACAATTTATGGTTGCTGGAAGAGGGACAGCTGATTTTTTACAGGGATTTGGTACCTGAGTGGCTATCTATGCTCCACTCTATGGTTCTATATCCTTGTACATACAGGTAGAACTTCTTGGAATTAGTGGGTTTCAAAAGGGTAAAGTTGGAAGTTGTGCTGGTTTGATAAGAATGACCCTAGTAAGCTTATATATTTGAATGTTTAGTCACTAGAGAGTATAACTGTTTGGAAGGATTATAAGGTTAGCAGGTGTGGCATTGTTGGAGGAAGTATGTCACTGGCAGTGGACTTTGAGGTTTCAAAAGCTCATTCTAAGCCAAGAATCTCTCCCTGCTGTTTGTAGATCCAGAATATAGAACTCTCAACTACATCTTCAACAATAATGCTGCCTGCAGGCTGCCATGCTTCCTGTCATGATGATGATGGACTAACCTCTGACACTGTAAGCCAGCCACCCCAATTCAGTGCTTTCTTTTATAGGAGTTGCCTTGGTAATGGTGTCCCTTCACAGTAACAGAACAGTGTCTGAGACAGGAAGGAAAGTGAGGGAGGGGACAGGAGAATAATTAGAGGGGAGAGGATGGGGAATTAATCACTTTACATTATATGCATGTATGAAAATTTTGAATAATTAAGAAAAGTTCTGCAAAAAATATAGAAGTTGGTTACTCCAAAATTCTCTACTCCAGGAGATGAAAGACCCCCATAAAGACACAGTGCTCCGAATCAAACTAAGATATTGTAGAGTAACACTAGTCTGTAATGTGAGGGGTGAGTTTATGAAACTTCCCCCTATAATTCTATCAAAAGAGAAGGTCATCAAATATGGCTGCATGTGGAGAAGCTTTTAACAAGTGCTCTGATACACCTAGGCACAGGATGTTGATCTTAGTCAAAACATCTCACTCAATTCCATTTTACTACCTGACACATAAATATACTGAAAGACAAATCAGCTACCCTTTTTCTGTCCACTAAGACTACACATGCTCATATTTTTCTCTTTTTTATACTCAAGTCCTCAAAGCACTTTTTTTGTGCTGGCTGTGCACTGTGTCTTATCATCACTTCCTGGTGCTTCCAACTCTCATAGCTTTTCATAAAGTTACCAGTGCCTTCACTGAATAACCCAAATTCCCTGGGAATGCATGTCTTGCCCAGTTTTAGGACATTAGCCCCTGGTTCTTCTCTTATTTTGCTGGTCTTGCTGGTTTCAGAATAATCATCTTTGGCTCATCCTCCCCTACATGGCCATTCTGTGGTAGCATGCTTTGCAGCATTCTGTGCTGCAAACTCTCTTTGTTTAGGAGTCTTATAAACTCACAGGTTTCCATTACCATTTGTGTTTGGGTGATTGATAGGTCTGGACTTCCCTGATTTGACATGCATATAAACAACTATTATTTGATGTCATTATCTGAAAATCTTAGTGATATCTCAAACTCATCAGGCTCTTGTAATTCATTTGTTGTGTTACCTAGATTTCCATCCATAGCATGCAACAAACTTCTAACTATACAACAATGTGCACATGGTTGCTATGCTTTTTTTCTAACTCAAGTGGAAGTGATACCAGGTAGGGTCAGGTCTAGTTTTGCTTATACTAGCACTTATGTGGTTCCTGAAACACATAGTAAGTACTTAAGAGTTGCTATAGTACTAGTAAATAAAGTAATATAAAATAATACTTTGACAGGAAGGATGAATGAATGTAAGTATAAATGGTTCTTGTTACAGGAAATTACTCACAGATTTGCCCGAACACTTTAAGATAATAAGCAAATATACAGTAAACGAAAAAACATGGACAGGTTTTATTTTAAAAGTATTTGAAATACTACTAGCAATTCCTTTGCATAATAGGATGTATCTTTGTGATTTTATTTTTATAGTTTGTTATAATGTCTAATTTTATAAATAATCATATACGTTCATAACAATACAATCCTTTTGGAAAAGAATAACAAAACAGTAAAACAGAAGAATGTTAAAATTGGGTGTGTGAGCCACCTTTCCTGGATAAGTGCAGTTATCACCCCTCATCAAGAAGTCTCTCTTCACAGCAGATCAGCACAGAAATCCATAACTGCATACAGTGCAGAGATCAACAGATCATGGGCAACCCACCCCCAACAGACACATTTACATCACAGCTCCTGCATCTATGGCTCAGAGGACATGGAGGAAGAAAGGGCAGAGAGTTTGTAATAATGGCAATATCAGGAAGTCTGCCATAAAACCGTCTTTCCTAGAAGTAACTGCATAAACAAGGCCAGAACAATGGCTATTTCAATGGACATGCTAATGGAGATGAGAAAAATTTCTCAGTGTCCTGCCCCTAGGCAAAGAACTGTAGGCAATTAATGACTTCTGGGAAAAGAAGAATTAGCCTATTCCCCAGGGATGAGCCTCTTATCACTTGTCCAATGCAAAGCGGTCAGCTCTCAAACTCAGCAAGTTATATTGATATATTTGTGCATACCCATATATACATACACATGCATGTATGTAATAATAATCAGAGGGAAAGAGGCTATAAACTTGAGAGTGAAGGGAACATGGGGAGACTAAGAAGGAGAGCAGCTAGAAGGGGCTGGGGGGAGAAAGGTAGGAGTAAAGTGATGTAATTCTATTTCAATTAAAAGAGTATTAACAAAAAATAGTATTAAAGATGGAGTAGTCAAAGAAGACAAATATTCAGCTATGGATGACTTCTTAGAATATGGCGTGCATCATGGCCATTCCAATAAGCAATGCTATAGTATACACTAAAAATTTGCTGAGAATATATTGTAAACATCCTCATTAACAATAAAACAAACAGAAAAAAAACACTAACAAAAAACCAAAAATAAGTGACCAGGTAA